GTTAGCCTGCAGTACTGCATACTAACCACTGTGCACCAGGGAAGGATGAGAGGGAGGGAGGGACGAAGGAAGGAAGGAAGGAAGGAAGGAAGGAAGGAAGGAAGGAAGGAAGGGGAACAGCAATAGACTTATATACCGCCTCACAGTGCTTTTACAGCCCTTTCTAAGTGGTTTACAGAATCTGCTTGTTGCCCCCAACAATCTGGGTCCACATTTGACCGACTTCGGAAGGACGGAAGTCTGAAATCGATTTTGAGATGGTCAAAATCGAACTGCCGGCAGTGAGCAGAGTCAGCCTGCAATACTGCACTCTAACCACTGCGCCATCACGGCTCCCACAAAGCAGATCTTATTCTGTGCAACAATTCAATTAGCAAAAACCCTTGATGCTAAAATTAATTCTCCACTCCCATGACTTTCGAGAGTTTAACCGATGGATTTTCTAGTACGAGGTGTTCCTTTCTTGGCACACCCTGAGACTGCAGTCCCAGACATCCTTTTCAGCTGATCTTTTATTCAGAGACTACACATTATTACCCTCCCATAAAAGTTCCAGTATATTTTAATTTTTTCCCCCGCCTCTTTGATGTCATTGTGGTACGTGAACAAGTAGAAAGCCAACCTCTGAAAAGGTTTTAAAAACAAGGAAACCAGTGAAGCGTTTCTGAAAATGGAGGGAAGGGAGAAGTAAATAAATAAATAATTTTTTAAAAAAAGATTACATCTTTTTTGTTGTCATAACCCAATAATTCCATAAAAACTTGATGTCAGCGCATTTCATAGCTTAGCCAAACAAGTTTATTTTTTTTTCCCCTGCAGGAAAGCAGTTTGAATACCCAAGAGCAACCGTGGAAAAACAAATTCTGAGTTTGCAGACATGTGCACTAAACAGCAGGACAGGTGGGAAAATACTGACTTTAACTAATTTTCAGGTGCTGAACTTGCAGGCCGAGTGAGGAGGGTGAGGTTGCTTCAGTTCCCATTTTATTCTGTTAACAGGAAATTCTTGACTTTTTAAAAATAGCAAATCCGGGGTGTGGGGGTGGGTGGATTTAAAAATAGCTGAGACTGCATTCAGTTTGTTCCCCGAAGAATTCACCTTCTTGCCTTGTTTGGAGATTTTTAAGAATTGTACTGCTGAATCTTAGCATGGTCCCTGTCACCAATTCAAGAACAGGGAACAATTTACAAGGAATATTGTCCTGGGAAATATATTCCCTCAAAACGGACAGATTGTTTCCAATCAAATCAGCCGCACGTCTGTATCTTTAATCTACTTCTAGAGGTGCTTTTTAAAAAGGCAACTGGACTTGGGTTTTTTTCTTTGCTTCTCATCCCAACAGCCTCTTCAGTTCTCAGTGATATATTGACAGTTCTCAGTGATATATTGATCCTTTATATTTATACAATATAAATCTTATACATTTCTAAGTACAAATCCTTCCACTCCCCCCACCCCCATTCAATCAGAACCGAAGAAGCTTTCTGGAGAAGTGAAAATGTCTTCCAGAAAAAACAAAGTCCAGATGCTTCTTGGAAAAAAAAAACCACCTTTGGGACTACTGCTAGAGCAGAGGAAATACCATGGCCCCTTTATGACTTGTGGACTTCAACTCCCAGAATTCCTGAGCCAGCCATGAGGAATTCTGGGAGTTGAAGTCCACAAGTCATAAAGGGGCCCTAGTTCCCCACCTCTGTTCTAGAGCAGGGGCCTCCAACCTTGGCAACTTTTAAGCCTGGGGGACCTCAACTCCCAGAATTCCCCAGCCAGCAAAGTGGCCTTCAAAGCTGTCCGGGGAATTCTGGGAGTTGAAGTCCGCCAAGTAAAGCAAAGCTGGGCAGGGAATTCTGGGAGTGGAATTGGCTTAGAGTTGCCAAGGAGGCCTGTCCTATAGGGGGGTTAGCAGAGATTTTCGTCCCCTTGACACTAACCTACCTGCCGTTAGGATGAAGCTAATTGGATGTCGAGAGCCCGTGCCTGCAGGTCATTAGATTGTTATTTAGGTAAACCCTTTTGACAATACTTTGACAACATCTGTCAGCTGAAGGCACTTGTTGCTTCCTGATGTACAATCGGAACGAGCGGAGTTTAATCATCACCATTCCTGTCTGCAGAGGTGGTGAAAAGCGACGGGGCGAACTTTTCCCTGTTGGCCGTGCTACGCAACCGACAATCTTTCTTCACGGGTGGATTCCCGCCTCCGCCCAGCGGCTCCCAGCTAGGTTGAGCTTTCCCTGGTCTTTTACTGGAAACCTGTTTTTTTTTTTCTCCTGTGCATGAGCAGAGTTCTCTGGGAATGGCGGCAGCAGCACCGGGACAGGAGGAACTTGCCTTCAAGTCAAGAAAAGTTCAAGTCCCTGGAGGCTTTCAAGGAGAGACTGGGCTGCCATTGGTCAGAAATGATGTCGGGTCTCCAGCTTGGGCGGGGGGGGGGTTGGGCTAGATCAGTGGTCGCCAACCAGCGGGCCTGGGACCACTGGTGGTCCGTGAGAAAATGCTGGGGGTCTGCAGAGAAATGTCACCCCCAAAGCACCCCACAAATCAATTAATCCGGGCTTAGCGGTACCACATGGCTGCGCCCCATACGTGGCCCATGGGAACGCAAGGCCTGCGTAGCTTGCATTGCGAACACGAGGTGGTAGTGAGGGGAGGGGGGAACTTGCCCCACTCACCCGACGTGTCTCACCTGGGCTGCTTCTTTCTTCTTCTGCTTTTGGCTGCACGCAAGGAAAGCAGCAAAAGTCGTTCTTACTCTGCCAGAAATGAGTCTTTGGGACCCTGCAAGGCCTCCTTGCTCCAAAAGGCTGTGCCGGCAAGTCTCACAAAGATCATTTCTGGTGGAGTTTGGGGGAGAGAAAGAAAGACTTCTGCTGCTTCTGCTGCTTTCCTTGCATGAAGCCAAAAGTCTTTCTCTCTCTCTCCCTGAGAATGGAGCTGGAGATGTTATCCTGCAATCCCAAATAAAAAATGATTGATCGGTAGGAAAACAGGGCTGGTGAATTTTCCTGCAGACTTTTTTGGGGACTTTCCCAGGGCCTCTGGTCCACGGGATTTAAAATTATGAGTTCAGTGGTCCCTGAGGTCAAAAAGGTTGGCGACCGCTAAGCTAGATGACCTACAAGGTCTATTCCAACTCTGATTATGTTATCTGCAACAAGGGGGGGTGGGAGAACAGGCCTGACTGGCTACATTTTTATAAATTTTATCTACCTATTTCTTGAGTGGGACAAAGTAGCTCCAGGAATTTGAAATAATCCAGATTCTCAACTGGGGAACAGTAAATTAAATCTGAGATTGTCTAGGACTGACTCAAATAGGACTTCAGCACAGGGAGACTTTGGGCGAGAAAGCTATCGCACTTTGGATCTCTGCTACTGTATTGTATTTTTCTGGGCAGTATAAGTAACCCTCAATTTACGATCACAGTTGAGTCCAAAATTTCTGTGGCTAAGCGAGACAGCTGTGAAGCGAGTTTTGTCCCGTTTTACAATCTTTCTTGCCAACCGTTAAGTGAATCACTGCAATGGTTAAGTTAGTAACATGGTTGTTAAATTAATCTGGCTTTGTTGACTTTGTTAGGTTGTCAAATTGTGATTTCACAGGACCTCAGGACACGGCCACCGTCATAAACTGGTTGCTTCAAGCATCCTAATTGTGATCACGTCACCATGGATGCCAACGGTTGTGTGAAAAACAGCCATAAGACTCCCCCCCCCCCCCCCAGAACGGTTGTAACTTCGAGAACTGGGGAGGCCGTTCCCACTTTCCCTTCAATGTGAGGTCTTCAAGGCAGGGAATATCCCATTCTTGGTTAAGCCCCTTCCCAGAACAGGATACCCCCTTGCACTGGCTCCAAAAACTCCCCCATTCCCCGAACTTGCGATATCGGAATACAAGCGTGGGAGATTATTCCCTCCAGATCCTGGCTTGTGTCCCAATTCAGCTGTTGACAGAGCGAGAGTGGGGGACCAGGCGCAGGGGTGGGCTTTGGAAAATGTAGCAATGGCTTCTCTGCCCGGTGGCTGGGTGGGGGTGACCTACTCGGCTTCCTGCACCATGGCGGCGGGGGAGGGGGGGATTTCCCCCTCCCCAGACTCCAGAGATGGGCCCATTTCTAGCCTTCCAGAACCCCCAGTTTTCACCCTCCCTGAGCCTCTGCGCACAATTACATGGGATCCAAAACGGGGCGAGGCCAGCCAGTTGTTGCAACTACCGGTTCGGCGAACCAGATGTAAAATGAACAACCAGTTCACCCAAACCGGTGTGAACTGGTAGCGGCCCATGAGGCATAGAAGCCATTGGGAAGGCAAAAGGAAGATGAGAGTCTTGGGAAGAGAGCGCCGGTTCCAGAGCCCAGGTTCTCCTCCTCCTCAGAGCCTTAGACAGAAAGCCAGAGTCCTCAACTTACGACCACAATTGAGCCCCCAATTTGTTGTTAAGTGAGAATTTGTTAAGTGAGTGTTGTCCCATTTCACGACGTTTCTCGCCACCACTGCTCAGGTGAATCACGGACGTTGGTAAGTTAAGTAACCTGGTTGTGAAGGGAATCTGGCTACCCCCGTTGACTTTGTCAGGTCGCAAAAGGGCATGACCCCCACCCCCACCCTGGGGACACTGCGACCGTCATAAATATGAACCAGTTGCCGAGTGTCTGAACGTTGATCACATGGGAGCTGCAAAGATTGTAACCTTGAAGAACGGCCATAAGTGACTTTTTTCCCCAGTGTCGTTGTAATTTTGAATGGTCACAAAATGAACAAATAAATGAGTAAGTTGAGGACTACCCTTATTTCAATGGATTAGGATTAAACAGACACACACACACACACACACACACACGAACACTCCCTTTCAATGGGTTGGGATTAAACACACATATTACACATCTTATCTTTCGCCGCTTTGGGATGAATCACGCAGTTGCCTATCATGCTCTCACTCTCCCTTTTCAAACAAATCAGTAAGTTATCAGCACCACACTGGCTATTTTGGACTTTCATTAACTCTGGCCACGAGCCTCATCCTTTTATTAAGAGAGACGAGCGATCTCGCAATCCCTCAACCGTTCGTTTGTGCTCCAAGCCACACGGAGGTGCTGACGTTAATTCACAAACAGGTCGGTTCCTCTCTCTTTGTCTCTCTCTCTGTGTCCGTGTCGTTTGAGTTCTTCCCGACGTTAAGACTGACGTGAGACCTTCAAGTGCTTGAGGTAGGAAAATCAAAGAGGACGCTCTGTAGCCGTTAGCCCACCGCAGAAGTTCGCCTTCGCAAAGTCTGCCGTTCTCAACGGGAGGTATAGGAGCAGCGTGGCTCTGCAAGGCTGCCCTTCGAGATGGAGGGGGGTACAGAGGCACCCCAAAGTCCCTGGCGAGTTGCTTCACTTCACCTCAAAGGTGGAACAGCTCTGGGAAACCAAACTAGCCAGCGGCCAACGCAGGCAGCATCCAGTAGCCAGGCAATTTCTACAGAGGACACGCGGCTCCGTCCGTTTTTCTGACATCCTATTCCAGGTCATTGCCTGAACTACGCGACAAACAGTCGAGGCCAGCGGGCCTTCCCCGACAACTACTCTCTACTGCAAAACCTCCTAGGAGGGTCCCCCTTGCCGGTTCTCATAGAGAGGATGTTGGGGGAGGAAGAGCCCCCTTCGGCTCGCAAAAGAACCTGCCGTTGAGGGTGTAGCCGCTCCCCTGCCCGCCCCGCACGTCAAAATCGATGGTGACTTCCTCGATCTCCTCGTGGCTGTTCTGGACGGTGCTTTTCCCGTGCAGCTCCTTTAGGTGGCGCCGCAGGCCCGGCTTGTGGGTGAAGTGCATCTCGCAGTAGTTGCACCGGTGGGGCTTGATGCCACTGTGGAGGTTGAGGTGGTCCTGCAACGTGGCGTTCTGGGTAAAGCACTTGTGGCAGATGGGGCACTGGAAGGGCTTGAAGCCCGTGTGAACCCGGATGTGCCGCGTCAGGTTGCTCTTCTGTGAGAAGACTTTGCCGCAGCGAAGGCACAGGAAAAGCTTGTGCTCTTGCACGTGGCTGACCAGGTGCCCCAGCTGCTGGAAGACCCGGCTGCAACGGGGGCAGCGGTAAGGCCGCTCCAAGCCAGGCACCTTCCACGAGGCCACCCCGCTGCCCGTCCTCCACTCCCGGTAGTTGATAGCCGGGCCGTGGCGATGACGGTGCAAGGGGTAGTTTCTCCACGGGGAAGCCGGTGAGGACATCGTGGAGGGGAAAGGGAGCCCTTTGCCGCCCATCTCGTCATCGTAGCAACCCTGCAGGTAGCTGCGGGTGATCTCCACGGCGGAGTTAAGGAGGGAGAGGGAAATGGCAGGGGAGGCGGGTCCGTGGGAGCTGCGGGGGGTGAACTCCACGGCCGCCATTTTGTTTTCTTCACAGTCTGCTTTGACTGGGGGGGAAGAGGGCTGCTTCTCCCCTTCTTCCTCCTCTTCCTCCTCCTCCTCTCCATCTTGCTGCTCACTGCTCTCCTCCTCCTCCTGCTTCTCCTGCAGCAGGGCGTCCGCCTTCGGGACTAGGTAGTGGGAGACGGCCTGGGCGCAGCGTTCCACCACGTGACCCATCTGCAAGAAGGATGCCGCCGTCAAGTAGTTGACTAGTTCCTTGATGGGCACGTCCAGGCACCCCGTGTAGCAGGACAGCAGAAGCTGGCGCCCAATCTCTGGGCTCTGGAAGAGGGAGACCATCACCTCTTGCGAATCGTTGAGCAGGAACTGGTCACGCAGGAAAGGGGAGCAGGCCGCGAAAACCACACGGTGGCCAGGAACCCGCAGCTCATTCACCTGCACGGTCACGTCGCAGAAGCGGCGCTGTTCCCGCAGCTGGTCCATGCGGTGCAGCACGCCATCGCCGTAACCAGGAAACCGGAACTGCAGCCGCTCGCAGGCTGGGGCCATTATGATATGCCTGGAAGAGAGCAAGATGAGGGAGAAGGAAGATGTCAACCCTGAAGTGAACCTTTCAGGGTTGCCACACAACAGAGGGAGGAGGGAATAGTTAGCTGGAGTTTTGTAGCTGAAACAATAAAGCTTTCCTGTGGGAACCAAGGACATTCTCGCAGGTGGCTGGCCAGAGGAGCAGCGAAGTAACTAAGGAACTAGCCAGCACCTTGACTGGACAGCAGAACCAGTGAAACCTTTGCTTTTTAATTAGGCGAAAGCTGCGGGACCTTTTCTGCCAAAAGGATATATCCAATGAATTGTTCTTTGAGGAACTTGCCTGAATCGGAGTCCTGCTTTCTATGGGTGCATTACTTGGATAACCCTCAATAGATCGGGTGAGCAGCTTCGATTAGATCGGGAGAGTTGAAGGAGAGTCGTCTTGATGTCAGCGTTCCCAAGTAATGCACCCGTAGAAAGCAGAACTCCGAGGCAGGCAGATTCCTCAAAGAGCAGTTTCATTGGATCCATCATATTGGCACAAACTGGTGAAAACCAATTCTGAAAGCTCCCGCGGGTTTCACCTAATTAAAAACTGTGAAGGATGAGGCAGGTCCATTTGGAGGAGTCTTCGGGTTTTGATCTGAGAGCAATAAGCTTTCATAAAATGGGGGGGTGGGGAGGCGCGAAGGGAAATAAAGAGTAGGCTAAATTAAAGAACAATAATTTGATGGACAGACCTTGATCAATTGAAAGCCAGTCTGGCTTAGTGGTTAAGGCACCAGACTAGAAACTGGGTGGTGGTGAATTCTAGTCCTGCCTTAGTCATGAAAGCCTGCTAGATGGGTCATTTCGGACCGATCACCAGGAGATGGTGAGTTCTAGTCCTGCTTTATTTTTATTTTTTAATAAGAGTTTTTTATTTTTTAATAAGTACAAACAATTCATCTTCCACTTAACGATACGTCGTCTGGGTACAGATACCTTGTGCAACAATAATCAAAATTACTACCATATTCATTCCATTGATATTAGTTCTCCATTGTTATCTTATTATTAATATACATAATATCTCCTACACTAAAACAATAACATGTTTAGATCTCTACTTATTATTCATATATATAATATATCTATCATTATAACAATTCTTTCTAGTTCTGCTTTAGATGTGAAAAAAATTGGGTGACCTTTTGGGTGATGTCAATCTCTCTCAGCCTACCTCACAGGGTTGTTGTGCTCGGGTAAAATAGGAGGAAAAAAAGGAGTATTAGATATGTTCTAATGCCTTCAGTT